AACTACGAACAGAGTTTTCTGGACCTAACTCATAAACGACAAATTTTGGACTATGGTCAGTCTATTCCTACATTGAGTATGGTTATACATCGCTGTGGCGAGAAAGATTTAAAAGTCATTCTATAACAGGCGTATCCAAAAATTGATTTAAGGTCGGAACCGATTATACAAATTCTTAAATAAATGATAGTGCCTACTCTTTTAAAATATTAATGTTAATTTATTTTTGAAATGATGACTTCTCGCGTTTAATGGAAATACACCTTGGTGCGATCGATACGTGACAATTCTTGTTTTGAATAAAGTGAACAAAATACTGTAGTAACTAGTGGAGTTACTACAGTATGCCTTTTGTCGTCACACCAACAGTTACCTACGGCAAATAATAACTCCAGAATTACTGTCCATATTAACACATTTCAGCCATTACTCATCACCAATCGTAGAGCATTAGGTGGAAAATCTTAAGCTAGTACATCAACACACATTCGACTATCCCAAACACCGTTCCATTCACCCTGGAACACCGCCCAACAACGAAAAGTTATTCGGAGAATTTCAAAATGCCATGTCGCAGTGTTCCCTTTGTTGTAATGCATCCTGATTATTCCTTAAACAATTAGCAAAAGCAAATGTGGGAAATTCGCATCTTCAATTTCGAAAATTACAAAATTAAGATACTACTAATACTTTTAAAAATTTATACATGACCATTTTTTAAAGAACCTATTTTTTAGAACATATTTTATTTAACAAAAATCTCTATAATTAATATTGTACTTTTACTATGTTAATTTTTTTTATTTGCCATTTTGGAAAAATACAGAGTTCGCCAAAACTTGAACCAGCACCACCTTTACTGTCCTTTGCTACATACGAGAAAAATGTAAAGAAAACAATGGTGCCGGTTTTTTGAGAATACTATAATTGTTTAAAAATTGCCTAAGTTTCAAGCAAATTTTCGCAAAAAATTCTCATATTTTCGAAACATTTTACGTGCCATAAGGTACAGCCCCAATGTTTCCTCCCCCCCTAAAAATAGCTCCATCTTTGTTAAATATAAAACTTGTTTTAATACAAGTACTTTCTGTACAAACATTAATGAAAATATTTTTTGACAAAAATTATTTATAATCCTTTGCACTAACAGAAGGAAAAAAGAATCAAATCAGAATATTTGATGCTATTTTTTGGAGAAAAAATTGAAAATATGGTTAAGACTTCTGACTTCTTTAAAGACAAAATATGTGTTTAAAATGTGCAGGGCCTGGTTTTCGGCCAGATCGATTGAGGAATACTAATTTTGAAGAAAATCATGTGAATAGTTTGGGCGCTGTCGACCACGGACGGACGATGGTAATCAGACACTTAGCCATACATCAATTTTTCGCAAGGATCTACAAAAAGTGTATTGTCTAGGAAACGTGTTATATGAAGTAATTTACTATATACAGTTTCAAAATTTATCCACTTTTTCTATATCAGGGCACCACAATACATTGCTAAATTCCGCTGCAGAATTTCAATATTGTGTATTACGTAAGTAGAGAGAGGCAAAAAAGTAAAATGAAAGATAACCTTAGGTAAAGATATTTTAACTTATATTAGCATTTCCCCATTATAAGAGTTTCTATTTTTAACAGGCCAAAATCCATGTTCGCAGATATCTCTTAAAGGAAGGTTCTACTGTTCATCCCTCCGAATTATCTTCTTTACAGCTGTGTATAATTCTTGTGGCACCAACTTTAAGAGTGCTTTTTGACCTAAAAACGCCGAACAGGCACCTATGTGCCTTGTGGAAGCCGCTCATTGCCATTTATTACATCTGAAATGTAACGGTGTACTCGCACGCACACCAATACTCTCACCCCCAGACGCACCAATTTTACCGACTTCCTCTCTCTTGTACCATTGTACGCAAAACGTCCTTGAAGTAAGCTATTTCGTTTTCATTTGGTGCCAGAAAGTATTGAAGTAAGCAGACATTTAATATCTCACTGCTGGGGAACCTCATAAGGCTAAACGAAACAAATTTACAATGACAAAATTAAAGGATAATTAAATTTTAAATTTGAAGATTCAAGATACTTTTTTCTCCCTCGCACTTACTTTATAAGAAAAGCCTAAGCCTAAAAACGGTGAATTTTGGACAGAAAAACCCTTAATGCCGGGCCCTGGTAACGAAAGAGTTCATAAATCCTGTTGTTATATATAGTAAATTACTTCATTTAATACGTTGTGTAGCTAGAATCTGTTTCGTGGGTCTTTAATACTGAAAAATCATTTGATGGCAAAACGTCTGTCAGTCCGTCTTTGGCCAACGCTAGCGCCTAAATACCGTTCAGCCGAGTTTCTCCAAAACCGATATTTCCGATCGATCTGAACGGACTCGTTTCAACTGGCTATTTTGATTTTCGAGACTACTTTTACAAGCAACCTTAAAAATATTTTCAAACTTATCTCAAACATGACTCCATTTCTTTATTAAAATTTGACCTTGGATAGCATAAAGGACGTTTAGGAGACTGATACAGATTCATTATTGTTGAAACCCCCTGATTTTCTGAAAATTGTAAAAAGCTAATGCTTTTTTGCGTCATCCTAAAATTACAAAATTGAAGATAGAGAGTTTTGAAGATAAATCTGTTCTTTAAAGACATATCTTGAAATGAGGTCATGTTCAATTTTTCTAAAATATGAGTAGTTTTCATGTAATTTTGCGCGAAATATAGGCGACTTAAAACTTTTTTAAACAATTGTTTTCTTAAATTCTACTTATAAATTTTCTTTAAATATCCTCCTGACATTTTTCGTGTGGAACAAATTGCATCCATATTTAAAACAACTTGTAAATTCGTTATGTCACTTTATTAAATCACCAGTATCATCAGTTATGCAAATCATGCTTCCGGAACGTATCGGGAATATGATTTTTCCAATCATCAGGTTACACTAAAACCCTTAGATAACCAACATGTACATTAATACGTCATCATTTCTAACTTCATAACTAACATGTGAGTCACTCCTCAGTGACTGACATGTTATGTGGTTACTGTACTGTACTGTACTGTACTGTACTGTACATGTATTCATGTACATGTTTTTTATATGAGGGTTTTAGTGTAGCCTGATGATGGTTTCATAAATATCAGTGACATAACGAAATTATAAGTTGTCTTAAATATTGAAGCAATATACTCCATTTGAAAAAATAAAGTCCCAAACAGTTCCTCCGTGTATGAATCAAGGGGCGGTAAAAAGTATGATACTAGTTCCATTTTAGTCAAACTCTGCAAATTTTTGAAAATTACAAAAAGTTAACATTCCAAAACTATAAAATTGAAGAGCGCAATTTTTGTCTTAAACAAAGTCCGTCATGTACATTTTTTTGTAAAAACTAGTAGATTTTATGTAATGATGCCTGAAATTTATGTAATTTCTAAAACAATTATTTTCTCAAAAACCACACTATTTATTTTTATTAAATTTTCACCTTGTATGTAACAACGGATGGTAACAAAATATGGTGCTAGCCCCATTTTCGGCGCAAAATTGCACAAATTGCGTTTTGGAAATATTGGGTTGATACAATTATATTTTTAAGCGTCTGACTATATTCGAACTACGCGGCGCTTCCGTAGTATAGTGGTATGGCTTGCAGCAAGTTAACTCGGAGGACCTGAGTTCGAGTCTATTTACGGGGAAAAATGATAGTTGAAAAGGTTTTTGCAGATTTATGTGGTAGTATAATACAGCGGAGCAGTTAGAAATAATGATAGAAAGTATGTACTGTTGTAGCACCACTAGTTTCCATCTGAAGTAAAACATCTTTGCCAAAACAAACGTTCAAGTAAAACTTTTCTCGATTAATTGAAATATGTAAGTAGTTTCTCTTCATCGACCATGCTTTATATGTGACTCCAGGGAATACTTTGAAATAAAATTAAAATGCAGCTCGAAAATGGAATGGAAGCTTACTCAAACGTTGCCCGATCTAAAGTGTAACACCAGCTATTTTTATTCTGTATATTGCACTTGGAAAATGTTTCTTTTCAGCGTTCATCAATAATTCGTGAGCTTGCTCTTCGTTGACCCTGATATCCCTTCTTCATGACAGATTTGCAAGATGAAAGTGCGAGCCTATGAAATTAATCCGTATATAAATATTTATAGATCAATGGTTCCTTCTAGTTAGTGGTGGAAGTGAATCACTGGAGTGGGAAACTTGCTTTACTTCGAGAGGAAATATGTTGAGTGTTCACGTTTATGTACAGGCAATTGAGATGTTTTACGCAGGGGACGTTAGCATGAAAATAGAAATAGAAGAATATGGAAGAGAGAGAGAGAGAGAGAGACAGAGAGGAGAGAGAGCAATAAGCCACGTGACCAGAAAAGCGTCCAGAAGACATGAGTTTCCGATTGATATTTATGGTTTTACAGAACACCAAACAAAGGTAAATAATCATGTATTACTCTGCAGGTTTCTAGAATGATATCTCCGCGAGATTTTGGCGATGTTCTGAACTTTCAAGCTTCAGTATTTTGCCAAAATCGAAAATAGAGAGAGTGTTCGTCGAAAATGGGATTAGCGACACTTTTATATTTATATCGTCCTTTGATACAGACAATGACAGTTTTAAAGATAAATTTTGAAGCCGATTTGGAGAAACAACAAACCTTTAAAAATTGTCTATATTTCACGTACAATAAAGTGGACCTATATCATATAATTATGCAAATGCAGATCTATTCGAGCATTAAATGTAAAGAAATAATATTGAACCGTTTTTGAAAAATCTTGTTTGCATTTTTTTTAATTGCCACGATCTCATTCAAAATTACGAGAAAAAATTGATAATTTCAACAAAAAAGTGCATGATATTATTTAAAGATCCAATTTTGAAGAAATGATATCAACACAAAT